CGGTAACTCAGGGCTAAATCTTGTTGTGACAACAATACCAAGAGGAAATGCGCCTCTAATTGAAAACAGGGAAATAGCCAGCAAGGACAAAGTAAACTGAAGCAACGTCATAAGCAAAATAGCACTGCAGCACTGCAAAGAAGTACAAGGAAGTGAGGAGTCACTCCCCAGAAGAGATTTCCCTCTGTAGCAGTCAGTGCATTTACTATGGCAAGAATGAGCAGTCTTCAAGTGATTTGGAGCTTCCTATGATAATAACCAAAACAATGATATCATGGAGCTGTTGGTTGCTCTCAACAGTCCGCTTAGAAACCTTTGCAAGGGATTTTGATGGTGTTGCAGCAGAGGCAATAGCCGCTGCCTCTGATGTTGAAAACAAAACCAGAGTCAACCTGGAAGTTCAGTATTTAGCGGGAGATGAGGCAGTTAAATACAAGAACTGATCCTATTTGTCTAATGGCTGTCCTTGTAACGGGACTGAGAAAAGGTACTCAGTAACGCTCTCTTCCTGCAGAAAGAGATTCCAGAGGCTGTGCATGACCACCTTCAGGCTAAGGCTCTGTACCTGCTTTAGTGAGACATTTTAAACTTGATGCCAAATTCCAGTTGAGTGTTTAGATATTAATTTGTGGGTAAAGTTGCTCTTCAGAGCAAAACAGACATGAAAACTTTCTAACTGATGGGTCAGTTCTGGGCCTGTAAGGGCAAAACTGAGAAGAACATGGCACAACACAAACTTACAGCATTCCAAAGGTTGTGGACCTTCGCCTGCAATGCACACTGTACGGATCACCTGGCACACAAATGCGCAGGGAAAGCAGCCTGACCTGTTGTGGCCACTTGCACAGGGCCCTGGGCTAGCATTTGGAAGGTGAGTTGACTTTTGTTGCTAGACCGCTGGGTGATGGTAAGCAGGTTGCAGGGTTTTTCTGTGCAAAAAGGCAGTACTGAAGCCACTTGTAAAGTATTTTAAAAATGTAATGAGAGCCAAGTCCCAGATGCCTACCAGGCAGAAGTGCTGAACTGTTTAGATTGCAGGGATAGTCAGGTTAGATTGGATTAATCGTATCTGAGCTGTATTGAAAAGTGTGACATGAATGTGGGCAATGTCAGGAATGAAACAAACTTCGGGTCTTTTGCAAGTGGAGGTTACCAACAGGCTCACTACACTACATACTTCCACTTTAGTTTTCTGAGACAGATTGTCTGGAAATGGTTAATCAAATGCATGCTTGGAGATGGACAAAGGGCTCAAAATTCAAATTGTATGGCACACGGATGTTATAAATCAGGATAACCTGAAAGAAGAAAAGGAACTGTAAACCTGCCAAAACTGGTCTCAGCTGCTCTCAACTGCTTCAAAGTGCCTGTGTCACAGCAGTAGAAACGGGGCATTGTTGCAAACAAAATCAGCTCAGCAATCACCAAATTCAACTTGGTAACAAGAACAATATAAAAGAAGAAGCCAGAGAGATGCAAGGTAGGGATCACTTCACTGTGCACATGATTGAACAGGACTTTTTTGACCCTACAAGGTTACTTCCCCAAGAAAAGCATCTGGCATCTGAGATTAACAGATCATGTGGTTTTTTTGTGACTAATGCTAGTGTTAAAGTAATGATCAACTTTTAGTCCTGTTTTTATCCACCCTGCAATGAGCTTTAATAAAATTATGAGTTTGCCAGAGATCTGAGACTTTATTAATCGTCTGGAAAATTGCAATAATTTGGTGTTACACATATAATGGAAGAGCAGCTTGTGTGTCTTTTCAGCCTCCTTCCATCACTTTAACTTGCTATTTGAAGGAATAAGACACTGAAGTTCATAGTGCCAGTTAACATGATCAGTCTTGGTACAAGCTTTATTGAGATGTCTGGTCAGCAGGTTGCCCTTCTGAAATGTCCTGATGGTAATACTCACTTCAGCATTTGTTTGATTGGAATAAACAGTAAAAAAGTGTTAAAAGTTGACTGGACGAGTCATGGACAAGATAATAATGAACTCTTGGCGAGAGAAATTTTATCTACCTGAATTAGACTTTGGACTTTTAACTCTCTCAATTGAAAAAAGGAAACAACCCAGTACTTTATATAAGCTCATGCTCTGGGACAGTTTCTTTTGTCTCATTTAAACTGCTTGCAGGTATTTAAGATACAATTTCCTTGCAAAGATCAAAAAGGAATTAAAATAACTGGAGAAGCTATTTAGGAGTCCCTCACAGTGGATGGTTTGCCTAAGCAAAAGCATCTAAATGCTTTTTTATGAGTAGAATTTCTTGCAAAAAGTCTGATGTGAAGACATGATTTTAAGCCTGAAACAATGGATTTGGAATATACTGAAACCTCACCAGTGAAGGCTTTCCTCTAAATGTGACCTAAACTTAGTCAAGAAAGGTTCTTACTGGTTTTAATTTCAGGCATTACATTATATCTTTTTCCCGTGTGCAGCTGTACTCCTACAGCCCAATTGTGTATCTCCTGCAAAGTCACTGGAGAAAACCCAGTATTCTGCAAGAAATCAATAGCTGCAATTGGTTCATGTCGGCATTAGTGAATTGGCTAGTGAAATATGAACCTAAGCTCTTTTCAATCAATCTATTTTCTATTCATCTTAGTAATGCCCAGGGTAGAGCTGTCAGGACCCTGAGCACACATATAGGCTTTAATTGCCCTGACCAGCCTCACCTGGGGCCAGTGGCCCAGAAGGCTGTGCCTGGGCTTGGTCATGGATGCTGCTGATTTGGGTCCTGTTCTATAAAGTGGTTTCCTGGCTTGACCTCAGACTTATCCTGTCACTGTGGACCTGCCTGGTTGTTACTGGGCTCTGTCTGACCCTGCTTATCCTCTCTGGAATAGGGCTGACCTGTAGGTTGACTTCCCAACTTGACCTTGGACCTGCCTCATTACTGCATACATGTCTGGTAATCTGGACTCCTGATCTAGGTTGAACCATCTCCAGGCCTGCTCTGCTTGCCTTGCTTAGGTACTGTAGGGTAGGTCCTGATGGGTGAGGCCCCTGCCCTGCTGGCTGTGGTATCGTACTTAGCTCCCTGTCCCTTCGGGAGGAGCTGGCCCTTGCTGCTCCCTGGTAAGAGCCTGGCAGGACAGCTCAAGCAAAAAGCTATTCCATTATAGAGATTATTCTGTCTTTCAGATCTTTCTTGATGTGCTTTCCTGTTAAAGCTTTCATGGCATCTCTAAACCAAGAAGCTAGTGGGGCTAATTTGAAGTGTTTTCAGAGAAGAGCTTAGTGATGTCAGTGAACTTTATCCTCTTACTTTTTGTCTTGTTCCACCTTGCTTATTCAAGGCTAGGAAAGTGAGAGCTGAGGCTGAGCAGCTGAAGCACTGGAGCTTCAGCCGTGCTGCCTGTATAGTAAAAGAGCAGAAGCAGTTCAGTGCATTCACCTTCTGGTTTTGCCCGCTCTTAATTTTCATGTGTAATGAGCTCTGTTCAGATGATTTAGCACTGTGAAATGAGTTTATAGTTAATTCTATGGAAGCGTGAGCTCAGTGGCAATCAAACACAAAAAGGGAATTGAACAGAACATTATGCTACTTTGCATAAGTCTGTAGTATGTGTGCATTTGAATATTGCATGTGGTATCTAAAGGCAGGAATAGAAAGAACTGAGAAGCATGAGTGAAGCTATAGATCTGCATTTATATGGACTATGTAGATTAGGGCTTCTGGTAGAGAAAGCTGAATTCTCAGCCAGTCCCAGAAAGATGGGACATCAACTGAGGCAACAAATAGCATCTTGAAAACGAGAGGAAGCTGGCTCACACAAAGATAACTATGCTACTCAGTTCCTTGTTGCCAAAAGCTCTGGCTGCTGAAGTATACATGAGTTCAAGAGGACACTGGTGATGTTAATGGAAGAGATTAAGTTACTAAGTATACAAAACCATATCTGGGCTCAAGGACTCATTATGTGATTCCTTTTATGTTCTTCCCTAGGCATCTGGTTTTGGCCATATGGAAACAAGATATTAGGCTGGACTAACCTTTCCTGTGATCTGGTAAGGTGGTCAGTGATGCAGTGAAATACTTACTGCTGAGCATTTCTGAATGACTATTTCTTGGTGCTAGTTTGGACCACTGACTACTTTGGGCTGGCCCAGAGAATGGACAAGTCATGCCATTTTAATACTTGGCACCATTCAGCTTGCTATCACTAGTTAGGAGGACATTCACTTTCTGAAAACAATCTGTTTTGGTGGGGAGGCAAGGAGGAGCATGTCACTCTAACCATATGCAAAGGAGAAGTATGAACTATACACAAAATACACACTTAGTCACTGAACTCTCTGATAAGTTATTTCTGGCTGGTTAGCCACAAAATGACATTTGACTGACCTTGTCAGCTGGAGAGGTAAATGGATAAAATAAATGAGTTTTCAGTCTCTGAAGTGAACATGTTTAATATGCTGGGTAGGAGGACAGTATGACTCATCCTTTCCATTTGCTAGATGGCCTGGTGTATATAGAGAAAAATCTGTCCTGCAAATGCTGCAGGAGGTGTAGTGGGTTGAGGTGCCAAGAAGCATTACAAGTGCCTTTCCAAATTGATATCCAGTTTCTGTAAAACTCAGGGCTCTCTGAATCTAATTTAGTGTGAGTATTGCACTACAGCAGTGGATGTTGTCTACCTGGACTTCAGCAAGGCTTTTGACACTGTCTCCCATCACATCCTCCTAGGTAAGCTCAGGAAGTGTGGGCTAGATGAGTGGACGGTGAGGTGGACTGAGAACTGGCTGGATGGCCGAGCTCCGAGGGTTGTGGTCAGTGGCGCAGGGTCTAATTGGAGGCCTATAGCTAACGGTGTCCCCCAGGGGTCAGTCCTGGGTCCAGTCTTGTTCAACATATTCATCAATGACCTGGAGGAAGGCACAGAGTGCACCCTCAGCAAGTTTGCTGATGATACTAAACTGGGGGGAGAGGCTAACACACCAGAAGACTGTGCTGCCATTCAGAGGGACCTGGACAGGCTGGAGAGGTGGTGTGATTATAGGCATTACATGATATCGGTCAGATGGGTTCACCTATGGCATTAAAACAGTTCTGCTTAGCATAAACTTAGGATAGAAGGAAAACAAAGGCTTCTGAATTAAATGTCTACATACCCTAGGGTCCCATACAGGTAAGTTAAGATTACTCTCTTCAGGTTGTTTCAGCAATACAGGATTTGGCCACTCCCTATATAAGAAGAGCCAGTAACTAGGAATCAACTGTCAGTGTAAAGCTCAAGCATGTAATTTAAGTTAAAACTGAATGTTGTTGACATAATTTTAAATTGATAACTAGCTTTACAAGACTTTACTTGGTACAGTTTGAAGTGTTACAAACAGTATCTCTTACCATTTTGAAAAAACCAAGAAGAACTTGTTAACAAGAGTGGAAGCCAATGCATTTGGATAGAGCTGACATGTTCTTGCTACTAGCATCGCCCAGGAAACCCCACCAAGAAATCCCAGCATGTTGGAGTATATACCACGTCCTAGAACGGACATATTTTAGTTAGTCTTTATTCTTTCAGTACATTAGTATATTCCTTCAGATGAACAGCACCGACTTCGCAATCCGTAGATTACTTAGTACACTTTAGCCTCAGGAAAGTCAAGTATTTTGGCAGTGGGATAAGGACAAAAAATGTTCCTCCTTAGTGATAAAAAAAAATCGTTATTCCACCACTTCCCATAAGTATTGCTACTCCAAAGTTCGCTTATATTGTTACAGATATACAGTTAACACCAACCTCCCTTAAGAAAAAAGTTCTATCATTTTAGCACTCGCTCTAGCCACATGCCCAAATGAAGCTTCTGTGTCTTAATGAGCTTTTTCATCATTTGTAGTCGCATTCAAGAGGATGAGGCCAGCCTCTTCTCCGTGGTGCCCAGCGACAGGACAAGAGGCAACGGGCAGAAACTGAACCACAGGAAGTTCCACCTAAACCTGAAAAAAAACTTCTTCACTGTGAGGGTGACAGAGCCCTGGAACAGGTTGCCCAGGGAGGTAGTGGAGTCTCCTTCACTGGAGATATTCAAAACCCGTCTGGATGTGATCCTGGGCAATATGCTCTAGAGGACCCTGCTTGAGCAGGGAGGTTGGACTAGATGATCTCCAGAGGTCCCTTCCAACCTAAACGTTTCTGTGATTCTGTGATTGTTGTTAGGTCCTAAGGTCCTATCACCGCATCAGTAGCCAACTGCATGCCTTAACATGCCATGAGCTCCCACAACTTGAGAGGGTGCTTAACGGGCTTCTGCTAAGTTTATGGAGTAGTTGTCTCGAGGGTGCTATAACCTGTTCCTATCCAAATACCACTGCCCTGAATGTGGAAAGTGGCACATGGCTTTGACGCTTAAGCAACCACTGCATTTAATTTAATGAGACTACCTGTTACCGCACTTGAAGGCAGCAAATCAGCCCAGGTTTAATGCTGCCCAGGTAACAGAAAACTTTGCTAAGAAAGAGTAAGCAGCTTCTATTGCCTCACTAAGGGGATGCCTTGATTTAATAAACTGCTTTCAAAAAGTCCCTGAGGAAGCAGTGAGCTGTACATGAAGTTCTCTACAGGAGTGTAATTGGGTGATATCCTTTAGAGCAACATTTACTTTTTCTCAAGTCCCTTTAAGAACTGGGCCTCTAGTTCTTAATTGTCTTGTTCTTCCTGCCTGGGACAGCTAAATAGGTATGGTCTGAGCTGGGCGAATGAATGCAGCAAAGCAGCGTTCTTAAACGCAATCAGCCACCCACCGCTTTAATAAAGCGTGATACAGTAGTAGCACAGGTTTGCAAGAGATTGGCATGAAAGTAAGAGAATGCTGCAAAATGTTGGCAGAAGTTTGCCTAGCAATTAATCAAGTTAACTTTACCTTGTGAGATGATATAGGTGCTCCATGCTCCAGCTGAAGCTTCAAGTGATTTCTAAATGAGAATGATGTCAAGTGAGCAGAAACCTAATCAGTAATTGATGGATCTGGTTGCATGTTCCTGTCACCACACTATCTCGGAGAGGCAGACCAGACTGAGCCACTGAGTCCTTCAGTGAAGCTTCTAAGTAGCTTTAACTGTCTTACAGTGATGTTAAAGGACTCATTAGACTAGCAGTTATGAAAGTTGAACCTCCAAAGTGGAAAAGAAGTGCAAAAATAAAGTTAAATTTATCCACTACCCTGGCTATTATCAGCTGGCATAGGAAGGCGAAATGGGAAAAGGAGGCCCAGGATTACTATATGTAAATGACTGAGGGAGTTTTGTTCCAGCTGCCTAGACAGGTTAGTTTTTTCAAGAAACTGATTGCAAGATGTTTAACATTTCATCCTTTATTATGGGTGCAGTCTGCCCAGTTTGTCTTACACTTATTGGTCCAGTACCCAACACACCTCGTGGTTCTTCAAAGTGATGTCACTTGATAAAGTCAAAAATACATCCCTGTCCAAGATTATAGTGGGTTTGGTATGTTTTTAAGATGATGAAACGGATATCACAGCAACTGAAGTTGTGAAAGTAGTATAGGAGCAATGAAGCCCTTGAACATGTCGGTCTGAATGACTGAGAGCTGGAAGTGCAGATACTCCTCGTATTTAAATAAATGTTCTTGGACTTAAAACTCTTAGATGTGAAATAGAAGAGAGTTCAGAAAAACTGTTATACTCGTGATTAAAGAATACAGCATCCTGCGTTTGGAGTGACAGTATAGAGACACAGGGGTGTATACTCATAGCTGTGCAACTTGCAGTCTTGCCCTTCTCCATCCCAGTTCTGCTTTGGTATCAGTCTTCTCCAATCTGGTGTGTGAAGAAGTGTTTTAGGTGTGAGAGCAAACATCAGACTTCATCAGTATGTTTCTTTGCCTTGTGTCTTTTGCTATGATGCCCTGTTGTAGCTAGCTTCCTGGCTAAGGTACCAGTGCTGGTTTAGGTATTAGTTTCTGCCTCTGCTAGACTCCACCAAGCCCTGGCTGGAGTCTTTAGTATGAGCAGTTCCAAAAATGACTACTGGGAAAACCTTTCCAGAAAGGCTTTTCAGATAAGAATCCAGTGCAGTATACTGGACTGAGCAACGGCGTTTGCACACTGTATTATGGAGTACCACGCACCAGACAATGACACTGCGTTGCAAATGTCTCAGACCTAACAGGCTAGTGGCTTGGAGCGCTAGCTCACATCAGACCTGTGGAAATTCATATGGTGTATGAGTAACAATTGCTATCAAACAATCTTAGAAAGCAGTTTACAAAGGAGAAGAGAGCTTATCCTCTCACTTTCTTTGTTCATAAAGACCACCCTAGCAGAGATGGTGCAGATGAGAGCAATTCTTCAGCAATTCTTATGAAGCAATTTGCCATACTGAGAGAGCGCAACAAAGCCACAATGTAATCTGTAGTGTGGAGCACCACCTTCAACTTGGCAGATACCAACCTGAGTGTGATTTAGACTTCTTGCATCTTAAACCTTAGAGTTTTGATTGGCACCAGAAGGTGCAGTCATAGGGTGAATAATAACAGAGCTCGGGGTCAGTTTGCCTTGGTATGAGCTGAAGTATGAAGTATGGCTTGTAAAAGCATAAAATTGGAAGATGAAACTGGATATTGTGGTGGAAAAAATTAGGTGATTGTTTTCTTTATGGCATGCTAGAGGCCTATTTTCACTTTCAGGTGAAATTACTCCGTTACCCTTACACAAAAAGAAATCCAGTTCTTCAGTGCAGCAGAAGTATGTTTTGAATACCACTTTATTGGCACACTGCAGTACAAGCATAAGAACTTCAGTAGCATGACCTGACTGAAATGACGTGCTGAGCTGAAAAGCTTGTCATGAAATCCATTCTCCGGCCAATACTCATCAGCTCTCCAGCCTAGGCAACTGTTTCCGTTGGCGTTTTCTATCAGTTCCTTGCATAAGCTCAGCATTGTCTTTTATATGGAGATGCCAGTTAACTTCACTAGTGAATGATCACGTCTCTGCTGTTGGTATGTTCAGCCATACCTTCCTTCAGCCTCAGACCCTCTCACTTGCTTTCCTTCTCTTCAAACAGGCTGTGTGCCTCATTTGCTTTCTAACTTGAGTTTTGCTTGTTAATGTGTTCCTTGAACTGTCACTAACAGGTATATGTTGGGAAGGCTGACTCGTAGTGATGCTGTGCCTTTTCAGCAGAAGAGGGATTTTCTTCCTCAGTGGCCCCCCAGAAGGTCCAACTAACAGTTTTACTTGGAATATTCACTAGCGTGAACAAGAGCCAGGAATTTACCCATAATAAGTGAAGTAATGTTTATTCTAGGGAGTGCGTAAACAGCTTTATCTTCCTTAAAGATAAAAGCAAGAGGTAAGCAGGGAGACTGACCTACTGTGCAGGAAT